GATAAGTTTTAGATATATGTTTATATTATTTCATGACATTCTTGTGTTGATCCAATCAAGGCCGGCGGAATGGACACGCGTTATATGTCTTACATAAAGTTTTTAGCATAATTTAGCAAGCGCATGCGCAGTAAGCATGCTCTTAAGAAAACATGTTTTGTAGGAAAAGAAAATATAAGTTTTACCTCGGTTACTCGCTGTTTTTCTTGGGTAAAACAAAGGACTGCTAGCTAGGCAGTTAAAAGCAAGTAAACAATCGCATCTAATACTTTTACTAGAGGGCAGAATAAGTATAATAATACAATTTAAACGCAATCAATTTAAACTTACATCCAGCCCAAGACACAGAAGAGTATGCCCCAAATATGAATATTTTTGAATGCCCGACAACTTTGAGAATGACCAGAGTTCGTGTTTTCTCATCACAGTTTGAATGGAATGTTGTGGGTTTCCAGTCGTCTCTCGTAGCTCTCCAACATATCTCCCAGGTTCCTTCACGTGGTAGCCATTCTTCTAGCTTTTGTTTGAGGTCGTGTGATTCAGATGACAAAATTAGTGATTTCAAAAAAGGATCTAAAGGCATTGTTTATCAAAGGAATAAGTTGGGAACATTAGCTATTGTATGGAAGTGCAAAGTTAAAGTGGCTGGCTGACGCTTCCTTTTGAGAATAGATATACATTTGAGAATAGATATACATTATAAAGGTCATCATGTATCGATACCACAACTCCAACTATAGTTACTCAACTATGTTACCTGAGCGACTTGAAGTCGGATACATTTTGGATTTTATCATAGAAGAAAGTAATGTTCCGCTCGATGATACGACAACAGGTGTAGATGTTAGGTCAACAGATGTCGTTTTTACAGTACTAGATATCATTCCTCCGACAGATGAGGACAATCCCTGCAAGATGGTGGAGCTAGGTGTAATTGATGAAGTTTTCCTCTTAGTTGATCGCGGATCTTAAATATAAGATAATATCACGGTTATCACATTAGAACCTGACTGAAACTTTATTGGTTATTCCGGAGGCCGGAACCATCATTTCGGGCGTTGGCCCAGGACGAGGGTACTAATCTCCCTCGGCTATTTACTCCCAGGGGAAAGGACAGCATTAGCGAAGTCTAAAGTTAATCAATAATCGCGAGTACATGGGTGTTCAGTAAGGAGCTCCGGTAGCCGGGATGACGTCAAAATTACGCGTGTAGGCGCTCTTTGACCTGTAGAATCGACTTCTGGCATTTGTACGGTCATACGATACAAACGTCGCATTGTTTTGACATTTTTCAATTGTATTTCCGCTTGGGATTATCTCACAGTCAGACCAGAAATGGAAACGGGTTAGGATAAAACGCGGATACGGACGGACGGACGGACGGACGGATGGCTTCCAAAAAACGGTTTTCAGCCTTTTTTAAGCCATATCCGCGTTTTATCCAAAAGGGTATCCAAAAGGATAAAACGCGGGTATGGTCCAAAAAACGTTTTTCAGCCTTTTTTAAGCCATATCCGCGTTTTATCCAAAAGGGTATCCAAAAGGATAAAACGCGGATATGGTCCAAAAAACGTTTTTCAGCCTTTTTTAAGTCATATCCGCGTTTTATCCAAAAGGATAAAACGCGGATATGGTCCAAAAAACGTTTTTCAGCCTTTTTTAAGTCATATCCGCGTTTTATCCAAAAGGATAAAACGCGGATATGATCCAAAAACGTTTTTCAGCCTTTTTTAAGCAATATCCGCGTTTTATCCAAAAGGATAAAACGCGGATATGGTCCAAAAACGTTTTTCAGCCCTTTTTAAGCCATATCCGCGTTTTATCCAAAAGGATAAAACGCGGATATGGTCCAAAAAACGTTTTTCAGCCTTTTTTAAGTCATATCCGCGTTTTATCCAAAAGGATAAAACGCGGATATGGTCCAAAAACGTTTTTCAGCCTTTTTTAAGTCATATCCGCGTTTTATCCAAAAGGGTATCCAAAAGGATAAAACGCGGATGTGGTTCAAAAAACGTTTTTCAGCCTTTTTTAAGCGATATCCGCGTTTTATCCAAAGAGGGCATATCGATATGTATAAAGAATATTGAATATTGTCCTAGAATTTGAACAAATAAAAACCAATAATATGTCTCTTCGCTTAATTAAATACTTACTGCGAGAGAAGAGTTCTAAAATTACAATTTAGTGTTAATAAAGTTTTAATTCAGTGTCAGTTATCTGGTATGTAGTACTCCAATTTTATGCCAACGTAATGTGCTGCTTTTTAAAGGCTTTGATGTCAATGCAGTTATCGGTTTAAATATACCTACAATTCGCCGAAGATATGACAATTGCCGTACGGCCTACTTTCTATACGTAAACGCAAATTACAATTGCAACGTTCATCCTTAATTTTCTCTGTTATCTGGGCATGTAGTAATGTAATTTTATGCCAATGCAATATGCTATTTTTCAAGTGCTTTTCAGTGCAGTTATCGGTTTAAATATACCTCAAATTTCCGTTAAGATATGACAATTGCCGTACGGCCTACTTTTACGCGAACGCAAATTACAACTGCAACTTTCATGCTTAATTTCTTCTGTTATCTGGGCATGTAGTAAAGTAATTTCATGGCAATGTAAGGTGCTATTTTGCTAAGGCTTTTCAATGCAGTTATCGGTTTAAATATACCTAAAATTGCCGTTAAGATATGACAATTGCCGTACGGCCTACTTTTACGCGAACGCAAATTACAACTGCAACTTTCATGCTTAATTTTCTCTGTTATCTGGGCATGTAGTAATGTAATTTTATGCCAATGTAAGGTGCTATTTTCCAGGGCTTTTCAATGCAGTTATCGCGGTTGAAATATACCTAAAATTCTCGTTAAGATATGACAATTGCCGTACGACCTACTTTTACGCAAACGCAAATTAGCTACAATTGCAACTTTCATGCTTAATTTTCTCTGTTATCTGGGCATATAGTAATCTAATATTATGCAATGTAATGTGCTGTTTTTCAAGGGCTTTTCAGTGCAGTCATCGGTTTAAATATAGCTACAATTCTCGTTAAGATATGACAATTGCCGTATGGGCTACTTTTACGCAAACGCGCAAATTACAACTGCGAGATAAGAGTTCTAAAATTAGAATTTTACAATAATCATGGCAGGCGGAAATACGTTTCTCTTTAATTACCGAACAACTGTCTTTACAACAAAGTTGCCCGAGAACGATAGAACATTCGTTGTCAAGAAGCTGGTAGACTCCAGCCATGACTGAGGGGAGACCGAATCGTTAGTCAAAGAAGCGAAGCTTCTTTCAAAACTACATCATGTGAACGTAGTTCAATTCAAGGGAATTTGTGTCGACCAGTATGCTTTAATCCTTGAACATGTTCAATTTGACTTTGCTCCAATTGGATTTGCTACATAACATGCACTGAATCGAAGATAAGAACCTGCAAAATACAAGGTCGGTTTCAACCTGGTTTATATTTCGGCGCCAAACGAAAGAGAGTTAATTTTCTCTGTTATCCGGCCGTGTTGCCAAAGTGGCATAAAGTACACGACCGGATAACAGAAAAATAAGCATGAAAGTGGCAATTGTAATTCGCGTTTGCGTAAAAGTAGGCCGTACGGCAATTGTCATATCTTAACGGGAATTTGAGGTATATTTAAACCGATAACTGCATTGAAAAGCCCTTGAAAAATAGCACCTTACATTGCCATGAAATTACATTACTACATGCCCAGATAACAGAGAAAATTAAGCATGAAAGTTGCAGTTGTAATTTGCGTTCGCGTAAAAGTAGGCCGTAAGGCAATTGTCATATCTTAACGGAAATTTTAGGTATATTTAAACCGATAACTGCACTGAAAAGCCCTTGAAAAATAGCACATTGCATTGGCATAAAATTACATCACTACATGCCTAGATAACAGAGAAAATTAAGCATGAAAGTTGCAGTTGTAATTTGCGTTCGCGTAAAAGTAGGCCGTACGGCAATTGTCATATCTTAACTGTTACTTAACGAATTGTAGGTATATTTAAACCGATAACTGCATTGACATCAAAGCATTTGAAAAACAGCACATTACGTTGTCATAAAATTGGAGTACTACATACCAGATAACTGACACTAAATTAAAACTTTATTAACACTAAATTGTAATTTTAGAACTCTTATCTCGCAGTAAGTATTTAAGCGAAGAGACATTGTTTTTATTTGTTCAAATTCTAGGACA